CAGAAATAAATAAAATATTTAAAATTTTTTTTAAAATCCCATTTGTAAATGGGATTTGTAAATTGCATCATAAAGAATTAAATGCCTAGGAATAAGTTTAACCAAGGAGGTAAAAGGCCTGTAGTCTGAAAGTTAGAAGGCATTGATAAAAGAAATTGAAGGTGACATAAATAAATGGAATGATATACGATGCTCATGGATTAGAGGAATTCATATGTAAAATGTCCATACTATCTGAAGCAGTCTACACATTCAATGCAATCCTCATGAGAATATCAGTCTCTTTTTCAGAGAACTGGAACCAGTAATCCTAACATTTGTATGGAATACTGGGAGACTCCAAATGGCCAAAGCAATCTTGAGAAAGAAGAACAAATTTGGAGGTATCATGCTCCCTTATTTTAAACTATACTGCAAAGCAATTATAATCAAAACAGTATAGTACAGGCATGAAAACAGACACCTAGATCAATGGAACAGAAGAGAGCCCAGAAATAAACCAATACTTATATGATTAATTAATTTACAACAGAGGAGGTGAAAATATACAACAGGGAAAGACAGTTTCCTCAGTCCGTGGTACTGGGAAAACTGGACAACTACGTGCAAAAGAACGAAACTGAGCCACATTTTTTAAGCCATATACAAAAATAAATTCAAAATTATTTCAATATTTAAATGTAAGACCTGAAATGATGAAGTTCCTAGAAGGAAACAGACAGTAAGCTCTTTCACATCAATCTGAGTGACATTTTTGTGGATCTCTTTCCCCAAGCATGGACAACAAAAGCAAAAGTAAAGCAATTGGGTCTCCATAAAACTACAAAAAAATCCCAAAACAAAAACACAAACAAACAAACTAAAAGCTTTTGCACAGCAGAGAAACCATTAAAATGAAAGGCAACCTACTGAATGGAAGAGGATACTTGCAAATGATATATCCAGTGAAGGTTTAACATCCAAAATATATAAAGAACTCATAATAACTCAACATCAAAAGAACAAACAATCTAGTTTAAAAATGGACGGAGGGCCTGACTAGACACTTTTACAAAGACTTACAGATTGCCAGCAGCCGTGTGAAAAGATGCTCAGCATTACTAAACCCTCAGGGAAATGCAAATCAAACTGCAATGAGATACCACCTAGGGAAGGCTGTCAGCTTTGCACCATTGAATGTGATGTTAGCTGTGGGTTTGTCTCACTTACATGGCCTTTATTATGTTGAGGTACATTCTTCCCATACCCACTTGGCTGAGAGTTTTTATCATGAATGTTAGAATGGCTGTTATCAACAAGACAAGAAATAACAAATGTTGGTAAGGACTTGGAGGAAAGACAACCCTTATGGGTTGCTACTAAGAATGTAAACTGGTGCAGTCACAAAGGAAAAAAGTATTGAAATTCCTCAATAATTAAAATAGAACAACTATACAATCCAGCTTCTTGTATTAATTGATAAAAAAGAAAAATCCCTGAAAACACTAATTTGGAAAGATATATGCACTCTATGTTCATGACAGTGTTATTTGCAGCAGCCAGGATGTGGAAGCAGCCTAAATATCCATTGGTAGATGAAAGTATAAAGAAGATGTGGTGTATATACACACATGGAGAAACACACACACACTGGATTATTACTTGGCCATAGAAAAGAATGAAATCTTGCCATTTGCAACAATGTGGATGGACCTAGAGGGTATTTTGCAATGTGAAATAAGTCAGACAGGGAAAGACAAACACCATATGCTTTTACTTCGATGTGGAATTAAAAAAACTAAACGACCTAACAAATAAAACAAAACAGAAAGAGGCTCATAGATGTAGAGGACAAACTGATCCCAGAGGGGATGAGAGTATCAGGATGGATAAAATTGGTGAAATGAATTAAGAAGGATGATCTTCCAGTTATAAAGACATGCGAATGAAATGTACAGCATAGGAAATACAGTAAAGAAAATATTGTAACACATTTGTAGTTTATATAAATATAGAATCACTATGTTGTACCGCTGAAACTAATACAGTGTTGTATGTCACTTATTCTTCAATAAATACTAAAAATTAAAAAAATGTAAAAATTAGAACCCCCCCCACAAAGGTATACATCTAAAATCTTATTGTTACAGTTTGCTGTGATTGTATTTAACTGAAATATCTGTCTGTTCCTTTACATTTTCTGTACCCTGTCAGAGAAGAGGCCCTCTTCCTTTTAAAGGTGAATGTATGCATCTGGAAGGTGCATCCTTATCTCTTCACCATACCCCAAGACCTGTCTTTATCCACATTATCCCCCTTCCCTATATTTTGAGTTTCACTCTACTGCCCCCTTCCTCTCTTTGCATGCATGCCTGGAGGTACCATAGTCCCAGATCCTTCTTGCATTAATTTTTCCATCCGTTTCCTCAGAGAAGTCCTCAACACATACTACTTTATTATCCATTCATTCCTTTGTCCTTCACAATTGACTTTCATCCCCATTTGAACGAAACTCATCTTTCAGAGTTTATGTGGTATGGCACGCTATGTGCTTGATAAATATTTGTTGAATGAATACACAAATGAACACACTATTTTCTCCTCACCAAATCGAAGATCTTTAGCCAGTTTTCCCCCTCCTTGATACATGCATGGTTAGTCTGGCCCATGACTCTGTCCCCATTGTCTTTTACATTGAATTCTGGTTTTCCTCTTACTATGATGCTTCGTCTAGGATACTTGACTGGCCCCCATTTTTGGAAGCAGTGTTCCATGTGTTTATGGGTTGTGGTGGAGGACAAACTTAGGGTTCAGATTAAGTCCCTGATACTTAATAGCTGTATGACTTAGGACACAGTACCCATTTCTTCATATTTTGAAAGGAGGTGATAATAGTGTTCTTCTAAAGGTTGATGTGATGCCCCAGGCCCTTGCAAACCCAGTCAAGCCTCCATTCATGTCAGTATTTGTATTCATTCCAGTGGCTATAAACTCCTTATGGGCAGTTGTCATGCTGGTTATTGTTTTTGGTTTTTTTTCCTCTTATTCTATCTATCTTCAAAACTAGCAGTGTTGAGCTTGGGGTCCTTGAAAAATACAAATTGTGAATGAGTGAGCAAATGAATTGTTCCCCTCCTCTTAAAGGATGACCTTTCCCAAAGCCTTGGCTTCAGTTATCTTCACTCTTTCCCTTGCTGACCTCGTTTAATCCCTGAGGATGTTTTGACTTCAGACATTTTTTTTTCAACCATCTTCTTCAGGTAGATCACCACCAAACCTAAACTGATATCAGACTGAGCTCTTTGTGTCCCTAGATCCAAATTTGCTGTCTTTAATATAATTCCCAAAAGAATATGCTTAAGACATCTCTTTGATACTTTAAATCCCTATGTTTAAAAAATAACTAGTCTTCATTCCTTCTCTTATTATTCATTCTTAGAGATACATATTATATATTTACCATTTCATATTTATTTATTATACATGTACATTTAAAATACCCTCTTATATAAAATATATATGTCTAACCTGTACATTTAATTTATATATACATATACACACAGAATATATGTATTACACATTTTAATAACCTCCAAAGAGTTCTACATGCTTATTTGTTTATGGGCTCTAAGATAATGCCACCTGCAAAATATTGTTCTTCCTAATCAGTACCTCAAGTTATTAGCTACCTGCCCCGTTGAAACCAAAAATAATAATGTTAATTTTTAAAAGGCAAGATACCTTAGCTGCTAGTAACTTGACCCTTATTTTAATAGAAAACTTTCTTTTATGTAAACAGTATATATTTATTATGCAAGCAACATGCAGATAAATTTTTATTGTAAAAAAAAAAAAAACCTTAAGCGACGCAGAACTGTAAAGTTAAAAGCAAAATCCCTACTTCACCACTGACGCTTACCCATGCTTACTGTTCTTTACAGGGGTGATTCCTATTATCGGTTTAGGAAAACTCTTTTATAGACCTTTCACTTACATTAATGAACAGATGCACGTTTGATTTTTACTTTACATAAACGCACATTATTATATTTATTAACGTGGACCTGGAATGTTTCCCTTATTAAAACATGTTGGAGGGAGGGCTCCCTTAGATTTGCTTCTTTTTTTTTTTTTTTTAATGTCTTATTCATTTCTAGGAGAGAGACAGCGTGAGCAGGGGAGGGCCAGAGAGAGAGGGAGTCACAGACTGAAACAGGCTCCAGGCTCTGAGCTGGCAGTCAGCACAGAGCCCGACGCGGGGCTCGAACCCACGACCCGTGAGATCATGACCTAAGCGAAAGTCTGACGCTTAACCAGCTAAGCCACCCAGGCGCCCCAGATTTGTTTCTTCCTAGAAGTCTACTTCTATATAGTATTGCTGTATACCAAAGCCCCATAACATGTTTACACAGATTTTATTGGTGAATTCTTAAAAGCTACCTTGATGTTTTTTTTTTCTTGATGTTTATTTTTAATCCCCTTCAGATGCATAATCTTTTAACTAAATGAGAAAACACATTTCAAACTTTTCTCCTTTAGCCTCTTTGTGCATGCCTCTTTTCCTATTCCTTACAGTGACACTTCTACTTATCCTCCAAACTCAGTTCAAATGTTAACCTATCCATGGAGTCCTCTACACTAACTTCATATTAAAGTGATATTTTTAAGAGATTCCCCGGTGTTGAGGACAGAGACGGAGGTTTTTATACTCCCACAAAGCTAAACATAGGGTTCTATCTATGTGTGGTATATTTTGAATCCATGTCCTGCCTAAACAAATACATGATTTGTAACTTTTGTTTTCTAACATGTATGCATAGATAGGCTATAAGCACCTTCAAGGTAAAAACATGTCTCAGTGCGTCTTGAGTAATGTAGATATTTGATGATTTGCATGCTAGTGCTATATTAACTGTATCATGGACATGAACAAAGATGGAGTTCTTTCGTTATCATGCTGGATCAAAAGTGCCCATCAGTCGGTCTAGGAGTCTATTACAAAGAAATAGGGATGAACCTACCAGGATCTCCTAGAGGATTTTGAAGTGAGCTGGATAATCCTAAAAGCAAAGAAAGTCAAAAGTATTCTTCACATGGTTATCCATTGTTTCTTGTTGTTGTTGTTGTTCTGCTTTGTTTTTGCCTTTCCAAGACCCTTTCCTCTCTCTCTCTCTCTCTCTTTTTTTTTTTTTTTTCCCAGAAAAGAGAACCCTATCTTTCAATGGAGGACCTGAATGTGGCTTGAGTGGCATGGCCTTGCCCTCCCCGGCTCCATGCACAGAAACATGGTAACACCAGTTCTCCATTGGCTCGCCACAGCAGTTTGTTGGGGGATGGTTATGAGACTCAGCTAGTACCAATGAGGATGATCCCTCCAACTTGACGTAAGCATGCCAGGAGTGAGGGTTCACTCCTCTCTTGTGAGGTGGAAAGATAATGCAGCCTGTGATTGACGGAAGCTCACTTTCCCACCATCGGTAGCAAGCCTGAGAGTAAAGCCAAAACAGGGGTCAAATGGCTGAGAAAAGAAGGTAAAGACAGGACACTTAATTCATCATTTGTCCGTTGATTTACTTTTTCCCGAAGCTTGTCTACTCCTGGACATTCTAGATGAGTATCCAAATTCCCTTTACCTAAGGTAGTGGAATTTGTATGCCCTATAATGGAGAGAGACTCAGAAAATTACATAGAAGGTTTAATTAATTTTAAATATTTCTTCTGACTCTATTTTCTTCCCATCTCTTTTTAGAGGATGTATGGTGATGAAATTCTCTAAATTTAATTGTTTAGTCTCTGCTTTCTAACTCCCAAAATGTTCACAGAATGGAAATGTTTAATTTTGTGAAGGTATGCCAAAAATGATCTACAAAAATGGCTTAAAATTGGAGGCTGGATCTTATGCTAAAATGACTGGTTAGAAATCAGAAAACTGAAATGTGGTTTCTGCTGACCTGGTCTTTTATCAGTTTTATTCAATTTACGTCATTGAGGAGAGGGAGACAGGAACTTATATATATTGACGACCTATTCATTCAATTCCACTATTTCATGAATTTATCCCTTTCATGTAAACATTGTTATCCCCATTTGAAAAATTTTTTAAATCCAAATGATTCTCAGAGTTCCAGTCTTGCACAGTGTACCCTAGCTGGTTAGGTTTAATAGATGTAAGATTAGAATCCATTTGGGATTCTGACTTTTAAACCAGCCTTCTCCACCATCTGTAATGCCATAAAATTGGGATGAATGTTGACTCTATTCTCTGTTCTCAAAGCACATTTTCAACTTTTAGTCCACTGTCTTGACATGTATGCCTTCGTATTATTGTTTTGGGGAATAATAGGCATTTTGGGGGTGAAGTACATTGATCTAGAAAGAGTATGAGGTTTGAACCTCATTCTGGACCTGTGATTTTCCACTAAAGAGTGCTGTGATTACGTGGCTCAAGCTTTCTATATTCTTAGTTTCCTCCTCCATCAAGTAGAAGATAAGGGCCAATCGTCTCTCAAGTCTATGTTGGCACCCTTCTACTGGTAAATGTTTCTCCACAAGACTGTACATCTTCTCTTAGAGACTGGACCACCTGCGTTATGATGATCCGCTAGAGATAGTGATGTCTTGTTCAACTCAGTATTTCCTAACACTGGGCCCAGTGTATGGCAAATAGTAGATGATCAATAAATATTTGTTGAATAAATAGATGAGGGAATGAAGCCTATGCACTTTTGTGTACAGAATACTATGTTTTAGTTTGATTCTTTTTCCCCCAATTGACCAAGAGGATTTGAAATTTTATGGGTGAGAGGTAAAAATAGATTAGTGATTGATTTGAGTATTATGGGCTCTATACATCAACATAGATTTTTAAAGAGGGCTTTCTTTTATTCAGAGCTCAGTATAAGCAAAGAGCTAACTCAAATTTTTAAAATTAAAGATGTACTTTAGAGTGTAAAATGGTCATCTAGGTGGCCATTGTATTTCAGCTTTTAGACTTGGTAACTGAGCCATCGTGGTGAACCTTCTGTGTGAATGAAGCCTTCCTTAATCGGCTTTTCCTATATTACTTCATCCTGGGAAAGAAAAGCAGTAGTTAAGCCAGAAGCAAGAAGGATAACAGAAAAGGGAGTCTGTGGCCAAAGCAACAGAATTACTTTTTTTTTTTTTTAATTCTTTCACTTGTGTTCGTGAAGGAGAAGGAAGAAACATAATTTTTTTGTCTTTGTTTAGACATTGAACAATACAAATCACAAGAGCATATATTTTTGACGTACTATTTTTTTGGTGTTCTTTGGAATTTGGACCCTAATTAAAAAATATGTGTTTCCTAGCCCTTCTTACTGTGAAAATCCTTGGCAATATAAACAGATGCACTGGTTGGCTTTTAATTCTGACACCAGACTGTCTGAAATAATAGCTCTAAGAAAGTGTGAATTCTTTTATTCCTCAAGCTTTAATTATAAGTACTTAATTTGTTTGTCTTTCCATTGGTGACTGTCATACCAATCTGGTTTACCTTTCATCTGGCTAAACATGGCGTACCTTAGAAGCCCCTCATTTTGAAAAGTTGATTCTGCCTGGGAAGATGGAAACAAGCTAAAAGGTGGAGTTATTTTCATCCTCCAGGGCACCTCCCTGTAATTTAACAATTAAGAAATTAAGTGGTTTTCTAAAAATTTCAGTAATATAGGCTTGAAAGATGACAGAATTGGGATCTTGATAAGCAGTTTGGAAACACTGAATATTTCTCATAAAAGTTTGAAAAATGAGTCAAGTTAATAGCTTACTAACTAACTCATCTTGACCTTTCACAGTCAAAGACGTTCTTCATTTTTTGTGTCCACCATTTTTTTACGCTTCAAAACCAATTTGCTGTCACAACGTTTTTAGCCATGAGACTGTGAAGGTATTGTCTTCTGTAATTAGATGAGGTACCACATGGTGCATTTGTGGAAAAGTCATCAGTTGCTGGGAGTAGGGATAGTTTGGAGATCGTGCTCAGTCTGATATTCCTGAATATTGTCATATTCCACTTCTGTGGTGGAGAGATGTGTTTTTGTTTTCTCAGGGCAAAAAAAAAAAAAAAAAAAAAAAAAAAATCCAGGAAAAGCAAATCACTGCTGGAGCTCATGACAAACATAATGAAGAAAGTCTCAGGCTCTTCATCCAATTGGTTTCTCTCCAAGTCTTTCTTTGTATATGAGATTACATTTTGAGACACTTTCCCCAATTATTTAGGAGCCTAATACAAGAGATGTTTACATCCCCTTTGTAAATATGAGGGGAAGAATGATTATGATTAAAATGTAATGAGCTTTATATAAGGAATTACAAAGCCCTCTATTTTTATTATTTCTGTCTTCATAACAATCCTGGGAGTAATTGTTATTATTCGTATCCTGATTTCAGAGATGAGGAAGCTAAGATTTAGTGAGGCTAACTAACCAAAGCTCCTGGAGATGGCAGCTGTGGTAGCAGGGATTTGAACACAGGAAGGGCCAGAGTATTTACTCATGTCCCTGTCGCTTGCTAGACATTAAGATACCTAATGCTTTACACACATAACTTGTTTCATCCTTCCTGAAAATGATTAACACGGGGAATATGTACCCATTATACAGATGGGAAAACTGAAACTTTGCCCGAGTTATTTGCCCAAGCTCGCTCAGTTCATAAGCAGTGGTGATGGGCTTAGCACTAAGGTTTGCCTCATTTCAATAACCCTGTGCTCAGAACCTTCTTTTTAAACTGCATAATAACATTTGTTTAGGGCTTTAGAGTTTATTCCCTAAATCCATTAGATAGCACACACACACAAAAACTTCAGTGTGCAATGCTTTAATAAAGTAAGATGCCCATAAGACTTGAGATAAGGGTAAGAGCTGGCGATGTGTGTATTACTGTTTTTGACATTTTTATAACAGATGAAAAAGAGTCTTGCGGGATATGCGTCTCGTTTATACTCCTGAAGACAGTGTAACATCTCTTCAGGAATGGTGGGAAAAATACCAGGTGACACTCTCTGGATCTTTTTGCATAAATGCAGCTACTACAGCTACTATTTTGCCCATTTTTAAAAACTTTTTGCCGCCATAAACATAAAATTTGTTTAGGTGGGATTAGACTTTTGAGGATACGAAATTTCAACATCCCCGGGGTTCCATGGCCATGCTTTGGGGCAAGAACTTGGACAGCAATGACAGCTTCTAAGTCGTTTCCTGTTTTTCTTGGTCTCATTGCAATCCTTGCCAAAGCTTCCCTCCTTCTCTGCTGCTGCATTAGTAATGCAAAATGAAATTCATTGTGCCCATTATATCTGTTAAATGGTTTCCATTTTAACTTGAGAAAAATGTATTGACGTTCATGTGTTTGGCATGGAAAATGTGTATATCTATCGAAGATAGCAACTTGTCTGTTGGAATTACAGTGCATTATGTATAATGCTGCTTTTAGCTGTGCATGTACATTTCCTGGAATCTTATTGTGTCAGAGCTTGGAAAGTTTACACAAGCATTGGTAATCTAATTTTTGTCTGGTGGGTGGCTGTGGAAATATGGAGTATTTGAAAAAGCAAATGTCTTGGCCATCTGTGCCAGGGAGTCGTTTGGTGACAGGGGTGTCTCGTCAGGTGGGGTAAAAAGCATCCATCAGAAATAAATGTTTTAAAAATATTGCCCCAGGCCTCACCTAAATATTAATTTCCCCAGGAGCAGAAAGGTATAACCATTATCACGACACGGTTTTTAGCCTGTTTCTGGTTATTATTTTTAGGGATTCTAATTGTAAGGTTGAGGAATCTGTTTTATCTTTCTCCTGCCTCTTAATGATAATCCTTCCCTAGACCGCACTGCTTCCTATGTCTTTTGTCTTCTGCAGACGTGAGTCTTTGGCTCATGAGCATCTTGTTAAGGTCTGTTGAGGATTAGGAACTGTGACACAATTTTCTTGCTGAGTCTTTTTATGGGGGATTTTTCAGTTGGTTTGTCTTGGAGGTCTTTGAAATGTCTTCTATCAAGCAATGATTTTCATTTTTCTTTGTTCTGCTCAAAATTGGGGTTGTATT